AATTTTAGTGCCCTTATAAAAGAGGCCCAGGAGAGATGCCATGTCTCTTTCACCATGTGAGGATGCAGTAAGAAGGTGCCATCTCTGAACCAAGACGAGAGACCTCACCAGACACTGAATCTGCTGGCGTCTTGATCTTGAACTTTCCAACCTCCGTAACTAAAGAAATAAATTCTGTTGCTTAGAAGCCAAAAAAAAAAGAAAATCCAATTGTTGTCTATTAAACCAAACATAAAAGAGATTTGCAAAAATGTAAAATAATGCCGTTCTCCTCACTAAATTATTTTTATTTTGGAAAATACAGTTGTCTTTAAATATATATTTATATACAAATATGTTGTTACTATTTTAAAATAATTAATAAATATTTTATGATTCTGAGTTTTAATTCTTAATTTGGTAAATACCAATAGATATAACCTACAAGATTTAAAACTCTTAGAGATCCTCAGTGATTTTTAAGAGTTTAAAGAGCTCTAGAAACTAAAAAGTTTGTGAGTCTCGAGGTAAAGCTTTAAAGTCTGCGATGAGATTTAGAAGTTTATTGTAAGAGCAATGGGAATATTTTGAAGCATTTTAGTGATAAAAGCTTGTAAATAATCGTGTTCTGCAAGAATGATGTATGGAGGCCAGATGGGAGGTGATTGCAAGGTAGAAAACGATACTAACTCAAACCTTAATAGTGCTAGGGTGGAAAAAAGTGAATGATGCCAGGAGATATTTAGGAAGGAAAAATCAAAGGACTTCCTGTGTAATTGAAGGGGAAGAAGAAAGTTTCAAGGTTGGCAACCAGATTTCTGGCTTGTGCAATGGAATGGTCAGTAGTATCTGCTATCAAATCAGAAAAACCTAAGTGCAGATTTGAGGAGAAGAATCCTTGAGTTTTATGTTGAGAATGTTGAATTTAAGGTAATTTTTTGATATTAAGGTGGGGATATCAAATAGGTAGTTGAAGCTATGAGTCTGGAACTGAAAAGAGATATCTGGATTTGAGCTATACATACAAATTTGAAAGTCATTAGCATATGCCTTTGAAGTCATTGGCATGTACGGCTATAAAAATAATGAAGAATCTTTTATGTACTTGCATGAAAAGATCCTCAAGATATATTAATAGTAATTTTTTAAATAGCAAGTTACAAAATAATGTAATTATGCTACCACTTAGATAAGAAAAAAAGAAAATACATATACTTGTATTTGCTGCGTTTGCCTAAAAACTTTTTTGGAAGATTACACAAGAAACTAATGTAAGCAGTTGGCCAAGTGGAGTGGGAGAGACAAATGGAGCCTTTACATTATATGCATTTTCCTGTTGTTTTGACTTTGGAACACTCATTTTTTAAAAGTCAGATAGAGAAGGACGAGCTATCAAAAGAGAATGGAAAAGAGCAGCTGGAGAGGATGCAGAGTGTGCTGTCACTAAAGCCAAGGAAAAGAGTGCGTCAGAAAGAACGGAGCAGTTAACTGTGTCAAATCCAACTGAGAGGTTTAGCGAAATCTGTACTGCGGAAAAAAAAAAAATCCACTGCAGGGGGACCATAACATTAGCAAGCAAAACACCAAGAACCCAATAAAAATTGATAAAGGACACAAAGAGTTCACAGTAAAAGAAATACAAATGGCCTAAAGTGTGAAGAAATGCTCAACTCATAACAGAAAACATGTGATTGGAGTTACCGAATTCTGTTTTCACTTATATTGGTAAAGATAAGAAAAACTTATCTTTACCAAGGAATGTAAATTGGTATTACTTTTTTATGTACATAGAGAGATGAGGTCTCACTATGTTGCTCAGGCTGGTCTTGAACTCCTGGATCTAAGCTATCCTGCCACTTCAGCCTCCCAAAATTCTGGGATTACAGGTGTGAGCCTCCATATCTGGCCAGTATTACTTTTTTTAAGAGGCATTTTGACAACATGCATTAAAATAGTGTACCTAGCTTATGACTAAGTAATTTCAATTGCAGAAATTTTCTATATATCAATACAGATATTTATAAGCATATATACTTGTTATATACATATGTATACATATGTAATATGTGTCATATGCATACATATATATAGATGTATGAAAAGATATATGTGCAAGGATGCTTTTGCAGCATTGTCTTAGTAGCAAAAGACTAGAAACAACCAAATGCATATCAATATTGGACTGGTTAAAAATTATGATACATCTAGAGAAAATGTATTTGTGCACATGCAGAAAGATATTTAGGATATAATAGGTAAGAAATTCAAGTGGAGGCTGGGCACGGTGGCTTATGCCTGTAATCCCAGCACTTTGGGAGCCCGAGGCGGGTGGATCACTGGAGGTGAGGAGATCGACACCACTCAGATCATCATGGTGAAACCCTGTCTCTACTAAAAATACAAAAATTAGCCGGGCGTGGTGGCACACGGCTGTAATCCCAGCTACTTGGGAGGCTGAGGCAGGAGAATTGCTTGAACCTAGGAGGCAGAGGTTGCAGTGAGCTAAGATCGTACCATTGCACTCCAGCCTAGGAGATGAGAGCGAAAGCAAAACTCCGTCTCAAAAATAAATAAATAAATAAATAAATAAGTAAAATTCAAGTGCAGAATAGTGTACATAGAATATATTCGTTCTGTTAAACAAATTAATGCATATGCATTTAATATTGCTGAAAGTATACAGAAAATAGGGTCCTAGTGAATGTATCTTGAAAGAGGACCTGAACACTCGGAAGTTTTCCCAGAGGGAGGGAGGCTTAATTTTTGTTCACACTCTTTTGTTCTGTTTGAATTTTATTTTTATCATAGCCACATATTGCCCTTTCTATTAAGGAAAAAAAAAAAAGCTAATTTTAAAAGAACTTTTTAAATTTTAAAATGATCTATGGGCTTTGGGATCACAGTGGCGACCTTAACAAGATTTGTTTAAATGGAGTCACGAGGGAGGAAGGCATGTCGGCATGACTGAAAAGTAAGAGGAACATGAGTAACTAATGATAACAGACACAGAGACGCTAGAAGTTTTACTGTGAACGGAAAAAGAGTGATATAGTAGTAGCTGAAGGCAGAAGCATGGTCAAGAGAAGAAACTGTTTTGTTTGAGTTTTGTTTTCAAGTTAGGAGAATTTGAGAATGTTAAATGTTGATGGGAAGGCTCTTGAGGAGAAGAGAGGAGTCACTCGTGGACTGCATAAGCACCCCAAGAAGGTGGAAGAGGATGGTCTCGCAGGCACGGCCAAGGGCACTTCCTCCACTGGAATGAGAGGTCAGGGCAGGAAGGGGCTGCAGAGATGAGTCATTTGGCACTTGGAAAGTGGGGAGTTGGGCAATTTTCTGTCTTACGGCTTCCATCTTTTTTGTGAAATCAGTGATATCTGCTGAATTAAAGAAAGAGTGGAATATGAGAAGACGGGCATCTCAGACACCAGAAGACAGAGATGGCTTGAAACCCTCATTTCAGAGGACGGGAGAGTACCTCGATTAGAGATGAACAGAAGGCTTGCCCAGATGAGGTTGGAATTCGCAGATTTAGAGTGCAACCAACCAATCTGTTCTATGTAATTTTTTTTCCAACAGTATCTAGAAACCTGGTGTAGGCATAAAGAAAGCAGGAGTTGGACTGCGGCCTTGACAAATGAGTACCAGCGAAACATAAATGGCAAAGGAGTTCATATTAAATAGACTCCTCCACGTTCCATCTCTCTTCCACCATCTTCAAGTCCCATCAGTATTCTCTACATGCATTTTTTCACATATTCACAGTTCATAAACCTTTGCATGTTGTTCTGCCTAATTAGTCTTAAGTAAATTAAAGAGAGAGGAAAAATAACTTCAAATGTCAGAGATTGGAATGGGAGGAAAGGGAAAGAACTAAATTGTTGAACACTGCTTACTGTGCTACATATTTATAAACTTGGTCTCATTTACTATGGAGTAGGAAGTGACTATTTCCTGATAATCCTTTCTAACAAATTTTTAATAAAGTCACTATTCTTCCCTTTCTGAAACCATAGAACTAACAGAGAAACTCACCTCTCTGAGATCATATACGGTCAAAGATATGGAAATTATGGACATGATTATGATGGCGAAAGCATATTCCTTATAGTCTTCACTAAACCACAAACAGACACTGAAGAGTTGAAATATATAAAATGGATTTAGAACCTGTTGGCAGACATAAAAACGGGAAAGCAAGCGAGATTTTTAGGCTTCACACTTAGCTCTTTATTTACTTGTTTTCATAATCATCTTCATGACATACATCATCCCACACAGTAGTTTTATTATATTTATTCAGCAACTGACAAGTGCCAGACACTGCTCTAAGCAACTTTACTTGAATTTTCTCATTGAATTCCCACAATTACCTTATTAACCAGAAGTTACTTATCTCCATTGTAATGATAAAGAAACTGAATCTTAGATCTTGAGAAATACATCCAAAGTCATGCGACCATGATTGCCACAGACCCAAGACTTAAACCCAGGCAATCTGACCCCAGAGCACTTACTTTTAATCACTGCCGCACTTTACAATTTACAAAGTAGTGTCTCATGTATTGACATGTTGACCATCACAATAGTTATTTAAGGAGTAGATGTTGTCATCTCCTGTTTACATTTACTGGCCTTCAGAAAGGTGAAGTATTAGTTCAGGTTTACAAAGTTAAAATACTTTCTAGTCTCTTCTTCTCTATGACATAACACCTGCCATATTTGAAGTCGTTAAGGAACTTGATTAATGGGTGAGTTGAAGACTGCATGTTCTCGTTAAGTAGAAAGCAGTATAAGCTGCAAAAGAGCATCTAGAACACTGTGCGAGAGAGTAGCTGTTAACTTCAACAGCTGGAATTCAGCTTTGGTCAAAAAACATATTGTGCCTTCACTGAAATTCCCCCTAGTTGGTTTCCTTCTGTCTAAAACAGAAATGGCAATCCTTTCTTCTGGTTAGAGAGGCAGCACACAGAAACATTCCCCTTGGTTTGTTTTACTTTCTTTCATGCTTGACAGCTTGCTGGAAATACTTTAAAAGCACCTTAAGTTTAGTAAGCTTTTCTAAGGCAAGGAGGAGTGGAGAGGGAGCACAGGGAAGCCAGAGTACAGCTAGAGGGCTATGGTTTGATAATAATCATTGTAAAGTGAAAAAATGAGGATCCCAGTGATAGGGTCCAAAAGGGAAATTTCATCTTATACCTTGAGATCTGCAGTACTAATAAGGCTGAATAAATGGGGTTTTTTCTTCCTACATTTTTAGGCACCAAGGAACTTGTATCTCTTACCTAACAAAAGGATTAGCTTAAAAAAAATTGAGTTTCACGAAGTTAAAACAAGTTAAGCAGCACAGTATTAAAAAAGAAAAGAAACATTACATTCATCCAGCCACTAAATGTTAAGTAAGTACAATGAGTTTCACACCCTGTCTTGCATATGGCAATCTGCAAAAGAACCACTTGAAGAAAAAGAGTAACCAAGAGATATGAGGATAATATGCTTGGCATACTTCCAAAATATATTCTATATTATAGTTACTTATTAACAAGTAGCACTCCTGATTATTTCACTGGAGTCAAACTTCTTTATTTTCTATCCAACACCAAGAGAAAATGCTGGAGAAATTACCTCCTTGATGAGCAGTTTCCAAATTGGTGTAACTTCAACATCGATAGTATTAGGCCCACATATTAACCTCCTATAGAAAGAAATCACATATCACTCCATCACAAATAATAAAATTAAAACTCACTCCTCACCTATTCAGAAAAAAGTCTATTCCATGTTCAATTTCTCACTCGTGGGACCAACATAAGCCTCCCTTGTTATATACTATTCCCATCCTTCTCAAAATAATGGGAGGTGAGGGTTCCCAGTTGCAAAAACGATAAATATGACCATATTGCTTCTAGAACTATATTCTTCCCAAGGTCTAAATATTTTTCTAAATGGTATTTTGGGTATTTAATATTAAATATTGTCTCATTCAAGTAGTTTCAGGATTGGCATGTTCCCAACTCTGTCTCTCCTCAATTCCGGTTTTATTACTATAAGACCATGAGACAGTTAAGAGAAAATACCTTTATTGATAAGGAAATGCTGTTTCTACTTTCCTACCCCTATTTAGTAGTTCTGGAAAACTTCAGAACGTATTTTAATGTAGGTGGAAAGTTCTGTGATCTCAAAAATAACTACATGCATAACTATTCGGCTTTTTGATTCAGTGTCTCTAAAACTCAGAGATGTGTTTCTTTGATTACGCAGAGGAAAGACATTTTACGAGTTACGTTACTGTTGAAAACACTAACCGCTTTCTCTGTGTCTTCCACCTCGATGCTCAGATTAAATAGCTTGGTCAAATGTATGAGAGCAGTGCTTCTCAAACTTTAACATTTATATAGCTCACTTGGTGATATTGTTAAAATGAAGATTCTGATTCAACGGGATGAAAAGTGGTCTGAGATCATGCATTTCTAACAAGCTCCCAGCTGATGCAGATTCTGCTAGGCTCTACATCTCTTCAAAGTACTAGAAATGGGGAAGGGCGAAGCATATGAATCACAGAAACTTAGAACAGCAAGGCCTTTAAAGAGTCCTTCTCCCCCTGTCTACGATTGGGTCCAGGGAGGAAAAGATATTTGTTCAAAGCCCACAGACTCTTGACATACCAGTGCCCTCCCTAAATCTCTCTCCTCTGCCTAATAATTCATTTGGAATTGTGGAGCTACACATCTTGCATGGTGTTCTACTGCTGCTCCATGGTTATTATTTAACTGCATTATCATGATCTAAGATGTATTTCTTGATTATAACCTAAACTGGCTCAACTTTATATTATAATAACCTTGAGAAACATTGTATGGAGTAGAAAGAGCACTACATCTGCAGCCAGGAGTGTGGGCCTCGAATTAGTTCTTCCACTACTAATTCCCATCTGTGTGACCTCGTTCCGGCCATGAAACCTTTCTGAGTCTCAGATTTCTCGTTTGTTGTATGGAAATGGTGATAATGTCTGTTCTACCTGCCCCATAAGGTTGCTCTGAAGATGAAGTAATATAATGTATGTGAAAGATTTAATTTAATAATACTAAATAGAGCTTTACAATATTTTCTGATATTAATCCATTAAGATAACTATTTACTGAGCTGTCTATTTGGCTAACTGATAATAATCCTTTTGAGCTAGTATAGGCAATAACATGCATGGTACCTAATCTCTTGTTCTTCTCTTGTCAAGCCTGATCCAAATTTTTGATGTATCTTGGCAGAACTGAGCCAGTCTTCCAAAGAGCTAAAATAATAATAATGAAAAGAACATATTTAGCAATAATATTTTTGGGATAACGTTTTTCTTCTTTGGCTGTACTGGCTAAAACAACTTACCCAATTTTCTGGAACTGTCCTTCTAAGTAGTTCCAAACATATCTTATTTTCTGCACTTTTATGCATCTCACCTGCAAAAGAAAAGTACTAAGAAAACCTCTAGTTTGAGGATCAGAGAATAAACAGCAACCAGTGGCTAAAGAAGCATTTGTTTAAAAAGCAAAGATAAAACTTTAACATACTTATTTAAGATTTTATCCTTTTCTAACTTATCCTTTGCTTTTCTACTATACAAATGGTACTCTTTATTAGAAGTCATCATTTAATCAACATGTATCATGGACCTACTATATAGAAAAATATATATGAATAAAACTTAGTCTCTGCATTCTACTACTTTATAAACTAAGAAGGAAAAATTTCCAAAAAAAAAGACATAGAGTCCAATATGTACATGTCAAAAACATTAAAACATAATAAAATAAAAAATACGTTTTTGAAATGCTATAGAGATAAAGAGAGAGAAGATGATGGAAGGCAATATGATGGAGATGATGTATGAGTTACAGTGTTGAAGGATTAGAAGACTTTTACTCAGATGAGAAAATAGAAAGTATTTTAAAGAGATTGCTCACAAGTTAGTTTGGGGGAAGAAGGCCAGTGAGCACGCCTATTTGTAGAATGAAGAACGAAGCTAGAAAGACAAACTGAAACCAAAGTATTGATACCGGAGTTGAGAAGAAATTACTTAGACAGATAATGAGGTTACAGAAGTCCTCAGTAAAGTTTTCTTTTTAATGAAAAGCAGTGCCCAATCATTTTTCTTTCTAACATAAAAAGACCCAACTATATGCAACCTATGAAGAATCATTTAACTAGTAATAACATACATAGGATGAAAATGAAAGAACGGAAGAAGACATTCCATGAAAATGGAAACCAGAAGAGATTAGAAATAGTTATACTTATGTCAGATAAGATACACTTTAAACTAAAACTATAAAAAGAGACGAAGAAGATCATTGCATAATGACAAAGGAGTCAATTCAGTAAGGGATTAACGCTCATATGTATGCACCCAACATGGGAGCACCTAAATATGTAAAGCAAATATTAATAAAACCAAAGGGAGAAATTGACTGCAACACAATGATAGTAGAGAATTTCAACACCTCACTCACAGCAAAGAACAGATCATCCAGACAGAAAATTAACAAAGAAATATCAAATCTACACTACACTGTAGACCAAATGGACCTAACAGACACTTACAGAACATTCCATTCAACAGTTGCAGAATATACATTCTTCTCAACTGCTCATGGAACAGTATCCAGAATAGATTATACATTAGGTCACAAACAAGTCTTAACAAATTTTAAAAACTGAAATCATATCAAGTATTTTTTTCTGACTACAATAGTATAAAAGTAGAAATCAATAAAAGCAAGAAAAACTTCAGAAACTTTGCAAATACATACAAATTAAACAACATGCTCTTGAACAACCTTTGGTCAACAAGGAAATTAAAAGAGAAATTTCAAAATTTCTTGAGACAAATGAAAATGAAAACACAGCTTATCAAAAACCTATGGGATACAGAAAAAGCTGTTCTAAGAGGAACGCATATAGCAATAAATACCTCTATACAAAAAAGAATGATCTGAAATAGACAATCTAACATTGTACCTCAGGGAAAAATGAGAACAAACTAAATCCAAAATTAATAGAAAGAAGGAAATAATAAAGATCAGAACAGAGGTAAATAAAACGAGAAATCAAAAGGTCAAAAAACCTAAAGAGCTGGATTTTTTAAAAGATAAACAAAATTAACAAACGTTTAGTCAGACTAAAGAAAAAAAGGGAAGACTCGAATAAAATCAGAAATGAAAAAAGAGACATTACACATGATAACAAAGGAATACAAAAAACCCAGGAGATTATTATAAACAATTATATACCAACAAGTTTGATAAATCTAGAAGAAATGGAAAAATTCCTGGACACATGTAAGCTATCAAGATTGAATCATGAAAAAATAGAAAATGTGAACAGATGAATTAGCAGAGATTGAATCAGTGATAAAAAGTCTTGCATCAAAGAAAAGCTCAGTACCTGATGGCTTCACTGCTGAATTCTACTAAACATTTAAAGAACACCAATTCTACTCAAACTATTGCAAAAAATTGAAGAGGGGAAAATATTTCCAAATTCATCTATGCTTCACCCTGATAACAAAACTAGAGAAGAGCACAACAAAAAAGAAAACCATATGTCAATATTCCTGACAAACCTAGAAGCAAAAGTTGTCAACAAAATTAAAGTTAACAGCATATTTAAAAGATCATTTACCATGATCATGTGGAATTCATCCCGGGATACAAGGATGATTCAACATATACAAATGAATAAACATAAAATATCACATTAACAGAATGAAACACAAACACCATATGATCATTTGAACAAATACAGAAAAGCATCTGACAAAATTCAACATCCTTTCATGATAAAAACTCAACAAAACAGATATAGAAGGAATGCATCGCAACACAAGAAAAGCCATGCAAATCAACAGCTAATATTATACAAAACTAGAAAATATTGTAAGTTTTTCCTGTAAGATCTAGAACAAGACAAGAATGCCTGTTTTCATCACTTTTATTCAACATATTACAGGAAGTCCTAGCCAGAGCAATTAGGCAAGAGAAAGAAGTAAAAGACATCAAAATTGGAAAAGAACTTAAGTTGCCCCTTTTTGCAGATGACATGATATCATATATAGAACATCCTAAAGACTCCACACACAAAAAAAACTAATAAACAAATTCAGTAGAGTTACAGAATACAAAATCAATGTGTATAAAAATCAGCAGCATTTCTATAACTAATAGCAAACTATCTGAAAAAGAAATCAAGAAACTATCCCATTGGCAACGGCTACAAAAAAATAATAAAATACGTAGGAATATATTTAACCAAGGTCTTGAAAAATCTCTACACTGAAATCTACAAAACATTATTGCAAGAAATTGAAGAAGACAAAAATAATTGAAAAGATATTCCATTCTCATGGATTGAAAGAACTAATCTTGTTAAAAATGCCCATACTGTCAAAAGCAATATACAGATTCAATTAAATTCCTATCAAAATACCAGTGATATTCTTCACAGGAATAGAAAAAACAATCCTAAAATTGGTATGAAACCACAAAAGACCCTGGATACCCAAAGCAAACAGAGCAAAAAGAGCAAAGCTAAAGGCATCACACCATCTGACTTCAAATTTCACTACAAAGCGATAGTAACTAAAACAGCACGGTGCTGGCAGAGAAATAGACATATAGACCAATGGGACCGCAGAGAGAAAACAGAAATGAATTCACACACTTGCAGCCAACTAGTTTTCAACAAAGGCGCCAAGAACACACAACGAATAAAGGATGGTCTCCTTAATAAATAATGCTGAGATAGGCCAGGCATGGTGGCTCATGCCTGTAATCCCAGTACTTTGGGAGGCTGAGACAGGTGGATCACTTGAGGTCAGGAATTTGAGACCAACCTGGCCAACATGGCAAAACCCCATCTCTACTAAAAGTAAAGCAAGTTAGGTGGGCAGGTGGTGGGGCCTGAATCCCAGCTACTCAGGTAGCGCTGAGGGCAGGGAACGCTTTGGACCTGGGGAGGTGAGGTTTGCAGTGAGCCAAGACCTGCACATTGCTTTACTCCAGCCTGGGGACAGGGCGAAGACCCCTCTCTCTCTCTCTCTCTCTCTTCTATATATTATATAAAATATTTATATTATATATATATATTTATATATATATTATATTTATATATATATTATATATATATATATATAAATCCAAACGAGGAACCTGGCAATCCCACACTTGCAGGAAGAATGAGAGCTAAGGACCACCTATATCCTTTTACCAATATACAAAACTCAACTTGAAATAGATTAAAGACTTAAATGTAAGATGGGAAATGATAAAACTACTAAAAGAAAAATATAAGGTCTGACATGGCATTGATCTGGGCAAGGATTTTTTGGATAAGACTCCAAAAGTGCAAGCTACCCCAGAACAAAAATAAACAATTGAAATTACATCAAGCCAAAAGCTTCTATACAGCAAAGGAAATAACTAACCAAGTGAAAAGACAACCTACAGAATGGAAGAAAATATTTGCAAACTGTATATCTGACAAGGGGTTAATATCCAGAATATATAAGGAACTCAAAAAACTCAGTAGCAACAAAACAACTATTTGATAGAAAATGGGCAAAAGACCGAAACAGACATTTTTCAAAAGAAGACATATAAATGGCTCACAGATAAATGAAAACATGCTTAATATCACTGGTCATCAGGGAAATGAACGTAAAAACCACAGTGAGCTATCACCTCACTCCAGTTAAAATGCTATTATCAAAAAGACAAAAAAAAAAATGACAAATGCTAGCGAGGATATAAAGAGAAGAAACTCTTGTACACTGTTAGTGGGAATATAAATTAGTACAGTCATTATGAAAAACAGTATACAGGCTCCTTATAAAATTAAAAATAAACCATCATATGATCCCTTAATCCCAATAGTAGGTATATATCTAAAGGAAAAGAAATCAGTATGTCAGACAAGTATCTGCACTCTCATGTTTATTGCAGTAATATTCACAATAGCCAAGATATGGAATTAACCTAAGGGTCTATCAATGGATGAATGGATAAAGAAACTGTACATATACATTTTCTTTGTGGAATGTTATTTGGCCTTAAAAAGAAGGAGATTCTCTCAGTTTTGACAACATGGATGAACCCTGAAGAGATGTTAAATGAAATAAGCAAGACACAATAAGGCAAATACTGCAGAGACTCATTTGTGAAATCTAAAACAGCTGATGTCGTACAAGTAGAGAGCAGAATATTGGGTATCAGAGGCTGGGGGGAACAGCAGAGACAATGGGATGGAGGAAGGTTGGTCAACAGTACAAAGTTACAGTTAGATAGAAGGAATAAATTTTGTTGTTCTTTTGCAGAGCAGGGTGACTATGTTTAGTAATATTGTACTGTATATTCCAAAATAGATAGAAGACAGGATTTTGAATATTATCACCACAAAGAAGTGATAAACCTATGAGGTGACAGATATGCAAATATCCTAATTTGATTTATACATAATGTATACATGTATCAAAACATCACACTGTACCCCATAAATATGTACTATTATTCTGTGTCAATTAAAAACAAAATTTTAAAAATCCTGGTAGCCACATTAAACCAGTAAAAAAAAAAAAAAAGAAAAAAAAAAGAGTGAAAGTGAAAGATACTGAAAAAGATTAGGATGGCAGCAAATACTAAAGAACAAAGAGGAGGTTATTACAAAAAAAAAAAAATAAGGAAGTGAGGGTCTGAGACTGTTGGCAGTGGGAGAAAAGGGAAGGGTTGATGCTTATGACAATTGTGTGTTCTTGCTTCTGATCCTTTAAGCAAGTTCATATGTGAATGTGAATTTCCATGAAGTGGTGACCTAACTAAACACAAAGAGAAACAGTGAGACTGACGTATTGTCACTGAGCAATGGTTATTATACTCTCAGGTCGCTCACTGGAATCATCTGGGGAGCTTTGAAAAAGGCTGCTATTGGGCCGGGCACGGTGGCTCAAGCCTGTAATCCCAGCACTTTGGGAGGCCGAGATGGGCGGATCACGAGGTCAGGAAATCGAGACCATCCTGGCTAACACTGGCTAGAGATGGGGTGAAACCCCCATCTCTACTAAAAATACAAAAAACTAGCTGGGCATGGTGGCGGCGCCTGTAGTTCCAGCTACTCGGGAGGCTGAGACAGGAGGATGGTGTGAACCCAGGAGGCGGAGCTTGCAGTGAGCCGAGATCGCACCACTGCACTCCAGCCTGGGCGACCCAGCAAGACTCCGTCTCAAAAGAAAAAAAAAAAGAAAGAAAAAGACTGCTGTCTCGGCCCCACCCTCAAGGATTCTGTTTTGTCTGCAGTGCATTCTGGGCATAAATATTTTTAATTTTCCTCAGGTAATTTTAATGTGCAGCCAAAGTTGAGGAACAGTATCTAGAGCTTCCTTTTGTAGCTACTCTGCTAAACCGCTATTTGAGAACTTCAACTAAATTTTTCTGCCCTTCAGTTTCCCCATGAATACATTTGGGCAATTGGACAGATTATGTCTATGTTCTACCTCAGCTTCTCTCTAGATATTCTATGCTCAAGAATATTATCGTCATTATAACCACTAGATACATTTTAAAACTGGAAGGACCATATAGCTGGCACAAAATAAGTGCTCAATACATTTTTTATTAAATAAATGAGTGAAAGCTTTGCAAAACCACATCAACCAGAAATGCAGTTTAAATCCCTTAGCTCCAACGTCTAGGTTACCAAAAATGAATGTTAACTCTATGCCATAGGTGTATGTGCATGTACACATGTGCACGTGCACGCACGCGTGCACACACACACACACACAGAGGCATTCAAACTTACCAAATAGCATGTAAAATGCTGTATTTTTTTTTCTATTTTACAGAATGGATTTATTTCAGCAAGGTTGGTTGCAACATACTGCATTTAAAAAGTATATCTTATTTCCAATTTAGAGTGAATTGCCAGTAGGAATGACACACAATCTATAATTTGCAGATTTCACAATCTGCAAAGGAAATATTTGTAAATGACAGGCTCTAGGGCGTGTTAGCCATCATGACACATGTTGCAATCCCAAGCGTCTTGCCTCACAATTTGCTTTTCTCTTCAGTATTCTTTGCAATTTTGCAAATACAGCAGGATTGTAATCACAGCTACTATTCTGGGGGCATGTTAGGACTTTTCACATGTTATGTTTAGTCTTTTCCCTCATCCTGTGCTAGGGCAGATATTATTTTCCTCTTCACTTTGCGCCTGAAGTTCATTTTGCTTAAGTAACTTGCCAGGAATTCGAACTCTAGCCCATCTGGCTCCAAAGTTCAGTCTCTCAAAGGATATCATATTCAAGCTAGTCCCAAAGGAAAATCTGAAAATCCATTGACTTCAGGATTAAAGCTGTATAAAGTGATGGCTGCCTACTTATTAATTACATAAATGCAAAAATCTGTGTTAGAAAAATTTTAAAGGACAAATTGTGGTTCCAACGTGAGGCCCCTGATCAGTTTGAGAACCTCTTATCAAGAGGCAGAAACCACACACTGAGGTTGAAAAATGTATAAAACATAATAGACATGAAACATCTGTAGATGAAGGCAGCAATAACGAGAAATAAAGAGGCTACTGGTAAGTTTTACCTCGGGCCAGAGGATAGGAAAATTCCATTATCTTCCGACAGTTTCTTAAGCCATTGCTCACAGAATGAGAAGAATGGCTCCATCCTAGACCTTTTGAGCACATTTGCGATTCCCCCAGGAGAAAGCATCCCTGCCAGGAGTTTATCTGCTTCCCCTATCACTCTCAGAGTCTCTGGAAGCTGGTAAGAGGATGTTAAGCACAATATTTGCAAGAGATGAGGTTGATTTGCCCATTTCCTGGAAATTCAGACCAGGAAACAGCAATTACGAACCCAAATGTCTGCTGCGGGGTGAATTCATCTTTCTGCTCAGGCATCAGGAAGATTTCCTCTCCCCGGGCTTTCTGCTTGTGCTTTCTTGTTAGAACATGTTATAAGAGCAACTTGTTTAACAGGTTAAGCACTGGGTGTTAGCTTTGCCTGCAACCCTGCCAGATGGTCCTTAGCTTCTCCTCTTAGCCTGTGTTTCCAAACCTGACATAGTTCTTTGCTGTAATCTTCAGACTTCCTTTAAACCAGTGATCTCCAACCTTTTTGGCACCAGGGACCGGTTTTGTGGGAGACAACTTTTTCGCGAATGTTGGGGATGGGGTGATGGTTTCAGATCATCAGGCAATCGTTAGATTCTCATAAGGAGCACTGTAACCTAAATCCCTCACATGAGCAGTTCACAATATTAAGGATTTCACTCCTATGAGAATCTCATGCTGCTGCTGACCTGACAGGAGGCAGAACTCAGGCGGTAATGCTCGCCAGCTTGCCGGCAGCTCGCCTCCTGCTGTGCGGCCTGGTTCCTAACAGTCCATGGACAGAGCACCGATCGGTGGCCTGGGGGTTGGGGACCCCTCCTTTAAATGCCCCTAAATGTTACCCTCTTGGTAATGCTGTTATTGTCATCAAGGCTGAGCCCATGACAGCTCCTCTGACTTTAATGAAAGTTTTGTTACTAGCATAGTTCATTGAAGTTCACAAATGACCTTAATACCCATCGTCTCATTGTATGTTCATAACAGCCCTGAGAAAGGCAAAGAGAGGGTATTACTTTTATTTTATAAATAAGAAACTCAAGACCAGAGAGGCAGTAACTAACCAAACTGCCTATGCCATAGCTGGTAAATGAAGGCAGTACACCTATCACAACTTTCCATTTCAAGACCCCTGCCCCTCCTGCAATTCTGTGTGTTGACTTGGCCATTTCTTCATTTATCTGTTCACTTATTTATTTGATGCTACTAAAGATGCTAGAATTTCAGAGCAATGAAACTATGAGGACATAGGCTATCTGGGAAGCTTACTCCTCCAGGTGAATGGACATCTAACAGATTAGGGCAACTATTATTTGGAGGTACCTGACTTCCTTTGTTTTTGTTTATTTGGGCAGTTAAGACAATTGGGCAGGTGGAGCACTGTAGCTCACCCCTGTAATCCCAGCACTTTGGGAGGCTGAGGTTGGTTGATCACCTGAGGTCCGGAGTTCAAGACCAGCCTGGTCAACATGGTGAAACTCCGTCTCTACTAAAAACACAAAAATTAGCTGGGTATGGTGGCAGGTGTCTGTAATTCCAGCTACTTGGGAGGCTGAGGCAGGAGAATTGCTTGAACCCGGGAGGTAGAGGTTGCAGTGAGCCACAACAGCGCCATTGCACTCCAGCCTGGGCAACAAGAATGAAACTCCATTTCAAAAAAAAAGACAACCGGGTGATAACAATTGACAATAGGAAAATTGCTCATAATTTACTTTTATTATTTTAAATAACTGACCTTGAGCTCATAAAACTAAACAGCTAACTACCCATACATAAATGTAAGAGAAAACATTCTGTCTTACAAAATGTTTTTAATATGGATGTTAACTAGTCATACTCCAAGCAGAACTAATTTAATAGGGTGAAGAGGGAGCAACCCAAATACATTTGAATGACAAGAATTCAAATAAGGTCATATTTGCAGGCATAAGCAAACCTCCTGGGATATCCCTGGGTGATTACCTTTAATATAAGATTAACCCGTTTACATAGATTGTAATATAGGGCACAACACTATTAAAAGCTAATATGTAAGAACTGGGCTGGGCAGTACATGCCTGTAATCCCAGCTATTAGGGAGGCTGAGGCAGGAGGATCACTTGAGCCCAGGAGTTTGAGGCTGCAGTGTATTATAATCATGTGCCTGTGAATAGCCACTGCAACATAGTGAGATCCTACCTCTAAGAAAGGAAAAGAAAACAGAACAAGTATGTATTGAGCATCTGCTATATACCTGGAACTACTTTAATCTTTGTATTTCTAAATTTATTGAATTTTATCAATTAATATTAGAAACAGACATTATTATCATCATCTTGTAGATGAGAAAACAGGCTCAGCAGAGTTAAGATCAATGGTTGCACTATTTAGAAGGATGAAGCTGAGATTTGAACTGTCTGGCTCCAAAGTTCACGTTTTAAATAAACACTATCAAATGAGGATTGGCACCATGGAGGAGCTGCATTTAACTTTACACTTGAGGGGAAAAGGGCGAAATCTCTCTGACATCAGCAGTAGCCATCCGTTGACTTACCTTTAGGTCTGGCTTTCTTATGGCTCTGTTTATGATATCCTCCTCATCTGTAATGACAGGGTGGTCAGGAGTGAGACCAAATGCGCTGTTTAATGCTGACAGGTAGATCCATATTACCTTTTTCCAAGAGTAAATTTGGAATTCATCCTGAGGAGATAGACATCAAAAGCCCCATGAAGTTAAGAGAGGTCAGCAGGCTAAAATTCAACCTGAAAAACATCCTTTTAATATAATTCTGTAAGTGTTTGGAGTTCGTGAACGTTCCAGACAGAATGGTTTGTCTATGAAAGATGATGGATATAGAACCTTGAGGGAAAATGACCTGTCATCATTGATTGAGGAATCTGGATATGAAGATGAGGCACTGACGCGTAACAAAGCTTGAGGGTCAGGAGGCTCATTCGCAGGTAAGAACTAGTTCACTGCATCACCCTTCAGCCCATGGCCTGATGACCATCCCCATCTTTCCAGGCTTAACTCAAATTCCACCTCCTACAGAACAGCCTCATTAACACCCTTCCACCAGGGGGGAAAAAATACAAAACCTGTCACTTCGTTAACTCCAAAAAAATGTTAAGTGTCCCTCTCTTGTGGTCTTAATCACTTTTTGCCTGTGTTCTCTTAGTTCTTCTAGACTACCTGGAAGGTAGGGACCATGTTTTATTGTTCCTTATCCCCATTCATGTGGAGCACTGAGACCTGCTCAGTAAGAGTCCAAAGAATGGATGAAAAAGACTGAATCTATGTACTGAACCTGCCCAAGGTAATTGTCAAGATGTTAGCACAGGTGGGGTTGAAGAAGGCACCTTATTGCATGACCCTAATTAAAATTGCTTCCCTTTGCAGTTCACTGATTACCTCATCACAGAGTAAAATTAGAGGGAGAAGCACAGGATTGAGAAACAGACACCACAATGGTCCCTTAGAGACTGATTTGACAGTGGTTATTATCTGAACGGGTAAATACTAGACATAAAACCCACTCAGATGACTGATAAACCTCAGGATTTAAGAAGTATAAAAGAAAAAGTCAAATGTGGGAACAATGTGATGCTTGGGAAATGTAGGTCAGAGCTGGAAATTGTCTCCAACACCACACCCACTTTTGCTATGAAGAGTGCCCTAGCTGACTCTGCAAAAGGCAGGGAGGGGAAGATACAATCATTGTAGCTAATCTCTTATATTGGTCCTCCTAAGAGGAGACCATCTGGATGCCTTTGCTCCTGCTGCCTCCTTGCCTGTAGTACACATTCTTCTCTCTTCTCCTTAAGTCTTTACATGGCTGGATTCTACCATCCTTCAGGGTCCAGGTCAGAGTTCATGTCCTGAGAACCTCCCTAATTTCTCTGGGTGGTCTCTCCTCTAAGTCATCAGTGTTCTCGAGATTCCCAACACATTTTACCCTTTGCCTATCCACCTTACCACTTCTCTTGGACTGTGGGTGGGAATTGTGTATGACACATGTCTGTACTTCAGCCAGGCTTTGCACAGATTCTGTGTGCGTGTGTGTGTGTGTGTGTGAGAAAAAGAGAGAGAGAGAGAGAGAGAGAGATGAAGAAGGGAAGGAAGCCAACAAAACCTTAATAGAAATTGGAATGTTAATTAATTAATCAATTTTAAAAGCCAGTGAAATTGGTTGTTATCCTATGGATTTAAAAAAAAAAAAGGTGACTAAGTCAATTCAAATCAAATTGTATGGAGTTAAGAATGATGAGCCTAAGAATGGTGGAAGGGAGCTACATTTTCAATGACTAAGCCAGTGATCTGATAGACATGGTCTAGGTATGGTAGAGTAGGCAACCAACTCTCTTGAACAAACCTTGACACAGTTCAGCATTATATAGCTTTGCTTTTGATTTCATCAAAGCAGTTTTTAAATAAGAACTTCCCATTTCTAATAATAGTTAATATTTATTTCACAGTTACTGTGTTCTAAGCACATAATGCCACATACGTATTATTTCATTTAATGTCAAAACCCCTATGGAATTCTTGCAGTTAATTATTCTCCCATTTAGTTGGCATGGAAAGAAAGACATACTTGGTAACTATTAGAGCAGGGACTTAACAGTCACATCCCCACTCTTGCTTGCCTCCTCGAGTCCCCTCCAACCTTCCACTTTATTCTACAGTTTTGCTAAAAAATATAATTTGATTGGACTGCCATTTTTATGTCGAGCCTGAACTGGGACTTCTAAAGAACATAGTTTCAATGACAAATTTGGTAAGAAAATGTATAATTTGTAGGTAAACAGGAACACAAATCATAAAAGAGCCATCAAGATCAGAGACCTCTGGCCACCAAGTGAGGACAATTAGGAAGACAGCAACTATTAATCATCTCCAGTGAATTAAAATAATATTAACAACCAATTTTCATATGATTATATAGCAGTTTGTAGAAATTTTGTTATGTTATCTTATTTTAGGCTTTCAATTCTCTAATGTTGGTATTATAATTATCTCCATTTTGCAGATGAGAAAACTGATCATCAGCAAGGCTAAGAATTACTCAAGCCAGTCTGAAATTGGTAGTAGGAATAAAACTGAGACTTGAGTCCAGATCTTTCCATTCCAAATCTTGGCCCCTTCTCTTTATTTCAACAAGTTGTCCCATGGTGTCTATGGCTGGCATGTAAAAATCACCTTGAATTCCGCACCAAGTGACAAATAGTATCCAGTTTCTCACAATGTGCTCTCCTGACAGCATAGAACCTAATTCCTGAAGTCAAGCTGTCACCCTCTGGCCCTGTGTGACAACAGACAGACCTCCAGACGGTAGTGCCTAAAAGGGGAAAAGCAAAGTGTTCAAGTTCTCAAAGGCCATATTAACCCAGTGCACCAACTGTATGCCTTAGTCTAGGTGTGTATTAAAAACTGACATTCACCTATATACCTATATATCTTCTTATAGTTCATAATATTACCAAATCAAAGGTGCTTGGATATATTTGCCTTTAAGCTCATTTCCTGTCATCCCCATTTACTCCTAACCCCAATAACTCATAATTCTGTATGATACAAAGTAGAATTATATAGAAAAAATAAAAGATAGGGCAGCTAGATGACCCTTTTGCTTAGAGTAGGGGAGTGACACTGACTTCTTTCTTATATATTACCCTGTTGAGGACTCTGTCAAATCACCCAGCTTTTTAAGGGGAAAAAAGCAAAGAAATGGAAGGAAAGTACACCAATGTGAAGTGGTCACTTCAAGCAAAATCATTGACTTCTCTTTTTTCATTCTGGGATTGTTGAATATGGAAAGAGCACAGGCTTGAGGCCTGAACTCAAATCCCAGCTCTAAACTGTCTTACAGCTGTCTGAAGCTAATTTTCTTTATTTAGAAAATGGAGATAATACCAAATTTCATGGATGTTTGAAGGATTAAATGAAATAATACATAATGTGTCTGATCCAAGGTTTGGCCCATAGCAGGGAGGCAATAGATGGTATGGTTCTGTGCCTCATTTTTCATAGCATGTTGTTTCTGAGATCTTTCTGTAAGTAGGAACTTACTCTCCCTTTGAGGAAACTCTAAAAGTCTCTCAATTTTTCCTTTGTGGAAAAGCAGCATCTTTACCTGGAAATGGCTTTTTCTACTTTAGTCTGTTTCCCAGCTCTCTTCAAAGCAGGTAATGATTTGTAAAATACCTAAATGTACCAGAGGAGCTACCATTTTAAATAATTGGTTTATAATGCAAATAATCCAAAGTGCTTGCCTGGCAAATCTGGACTTTTTGCAAACCTCAGGTCTCATTGAGAAGGCTTTACCTCCTCTTTATCAAAAATATTAACCAGATCAGTCCTTGAACTCTAAAAAAAATAGGTTTTACAAGAATTCCAGAGTGCATTTCAAAAGTCAAATGCACAAAAAGGACCAGTGTTTGACCTGGACTGAAAAACAGAGGAAGAAACCTGGACATTTTTTATTTCCTATGGCTTTGTACTTTCTGACCCTGGAAATGCCAGATAAACTTTTAGATTTGAATGAAGCAAGTTATCTCGTGATATGGTTTGGCTGTGTCCCCATCCAAATCTCATCTTGAATTATATTTCCCATAATCCCCACATGTCATGAGAGGGACCCAGTGGGAGGTAATTTAATCATGGGGGCAGTTACACTCATGCTGTTCTCATGAAAGTGAGTGAGTTATCGCAGGATCTGATGGTTTTATAAAGGGCTTTCCCCTTTTTGCTTGGCATTTCTCCTTGCTGCCGGCATGTGAAGAAGGATGTGTTTGCTTCCCCTTCCACCATGATTGCAAGTTTCCTGAGGCCTCCCCAGTCATGCTGACCTGTGAGTCAAACCTCGTTCTTTTATAAATTACCCAGTCTCGCGTATGTCTTTATTAGCAGCGTGAGAACAGACTAACACATCTTGCTTACCTAATTCTATCCTTTTACCATAAGAACCTCATCCCTTGAAATTTAAAAGCAATATAATGGTCACTTCAAGTTCAGGCCAATGCTGTGACTTCTCTTGTGTAGTTCACTACACAAAAAAATATAGTTCTGAGCTTGCCTTAAGAAGAACCCATTTCAAAATTCCAATGAGACATTAGAAAATGAGTAATTTTCTCCTGGAGATGGATACATTGCAATGCTAAAACGCTAAACTCTAGCTAAGGTGAAATACCTAGAGGATTATGGATAATGTAATAATAAATTTCTCAGGCTATTCTAAAACACTGCACTGCCTTTATAGGCCCATAACTTTGGTATAATTCTTTCATTTTTATATCTTTCATTTTTTTTCTTTCTCTTTCCCTCTCTCGGCCAGACTCGCTGATGCTCTTAACATCCTGACCTCATATTCCCAATGTTTTTTAGCTTGGAAAAAAGATGACATTGGCTAGAATATAGGATTTAGTTATAAGATACATAAAGTTCTAAGTTTTGGAGAAATTCTCACAATAATTATTATCTCTGTATATGTTGTCCAAAAAAAAGAGGAGGGAGGGACAACACAATGAGGTTATTAACAAAGCAAAGCCTATGTTTATGTTTGTATACAAAACAAGGAAATTTAGAAAACTCAGTATACATTTTTTGGAGAGACCAGGATTTGGGGCTTGCTCATTTTTGTAGTTGTTTTCTGAGGGGAAATGGAGCAGTGGATTAGCCGGTTCATTGACTGAAACTTCTGG